AGGGAGGCTGGGAGTCAGTACTCCTGGGTTCTCTCCCTGGCTCTGGGAGGGGAGGAGGGTCTAGTGGATCAGAGCAGGGGAGGTGGGGGTCTGGGACACAGAACTCTGGGGCTCTAATCTGACACTGACTCACCGCTATCAGAGCCCAGCTGATCAGGCTGTCCTGTGAGTGGTGGGGCAAACCACACTCTGAGTAGTTACCTGCGGCCCTGCTGGAAGGAGGGCGTGGAGAGTGCAGGGTCTGAGCCCTCCTGCCATGAGACAAACCAGCAGCTCAGCCTGTCCTTTGGGACCCAGCGAGGCTCCTCACAGCTACCCGGAGCAGGAGCAGGAGCCCGCTCTGCCAGAGGGGTCCCAGAGACACAACAGAGCTGGGAGCTGAGAATGCCACAGGATTCATGAACCTCACTTCCCTAGGTTGGGATATTTGGTGGCAATAATGAAAATGGGGGGAAGCTGGGCATGGGGTCACCTGGCTCCCCAGATCTATCTAGGTAGGTACTTATCTGCCCTCATCACCATAACATCAGAGCAACGGATTCCTCCTCACGCCCCCTGTGCATCAGGGCAGCATCCTTATTCCTGTTTCATGCATGGGGAACGGAGGCACGGAGGGGCTAAGTGCCAGGCCCATGGTTGCACAAGACATCTGTGGCGAAGCCAGGAACTGAGTACTAGGATGTGTTTCCTAATGGAGAGCACACTTGAATGGGAATCAGGAGACGTGGCTTCTACTCCCAGCTCTGCCACTGGCCTGCTGGGGGACCTGGGGCAAGTCATGTCCCTGCCCAGTGCCTCAGTTTCCCCACCTGTGAGATGGGGACAAGGAACATGGCCTCCTTTGCAAAGCACTTTGAGATCTACTGATGAAAAACTCCACAGAAGAGCTAGGCATTATTCTTATCATCTCCTGTCTAACACCTGGTCCCAGGACCACACGGGAGGCATTTGGCCAAGCAGAGATGAGATGATGGAGTGTCCCCCTCGAACTGAGCAGGGCATTCCCCTCATCACCCTGCCCCCCATTTCTGCTTGTGCGCCCCAGTAGCGCCCCTCGACGTAAGCAGCCTGTGTGCCTCTCCTCACGCTAGGTACTGGACCTCTCTGAGCAACCTGGTGGCATCCCTGCTAAACTCGGTCCGCTCCATCGCCTCCCTGCTCCTCCTCCTCTTCCTCTTCATCATCATCTTCTCCCTGCTGGGGATGCAGCTCTTCGGCGGGAAGTTTGACTTTGAAGACATGGAGGTGCGGCGCAGCACCTTCGATAACTTCCCCCAGGCGCTCATCAGTGTCTTCCAGGTACGGGGCATGGGGTGCAGTGGGCATCAATCTCGCTGGTCTAACGCATAGAGGAGGGGCTGAAGTCAGGATACCTGGATTCTTTTTTGGGCTCTGGGGGACAGTGTGACTTAGTGGTTAGAGCAGGGAACAAGGAGTCAGGACTAATGGGTTCTGTTCTTTCTGGTCCAGTGGAATGGTTCTACTTGACCTGTTCTTTCACTCACCCCGTCTCCTAGATCCTGACCGGAGAAGATTGGAATTCAATCATGTACAATGGGATCATGGCTTATAAAGGGCCCTCCTTCCCCGGCGTGCTGGTATGCATTTACTTCATCATCCTCTTTGTCTGCGGGAACTGTATCCTCTTTCTAGCCAGTTGGGGAGTAACAGCTGGGCGTTTTCTTGTCTTATCCAGCACAGTCACATCTAGGTTCAAGTACACATCGGGGAAGAGCTATGGGGCTGGGTATGGTATGTTCAGACATCATAGTACCAGGAGTGAGGGAAATGATGAAACAGGAGTGGGGGTTAAAAGGGATGAAAAAATCAGTTGGGTAGCTCTCTTGGTCTCATGGCTTTGGATCCCACTGTTGACACCAACAGAGATTCACTGGTGACAGCCAAGAGGCAGCTGTCATGGGTACACAGAGGGCTCGTTGCTGAACCTGGGGTTCTCCCCAGCTGCCTGCGTACATTGCTTAGTGTCACCACACAGGCTCTCGCTAAGCCTGGGCCATGGAAGGGACTCATTCCTTACATATGAGCATGCTCCCTAAGCTCCTTAGCCCCACCCTCTCTCAGATATCTGCTCAATGTCTTTCTGGCCATCGCTGTGGACAATCTGGCCGAGGCCGAGAGCCTGACGTCGGCCCAGAAAGCCAAAGCCGAGGAGAAGAAGCGAAGGAAAATGTCCAGGTCGGTGCTGCTCTCTGCTGCTTAAAAGCGGGAACCCCCAAGGGCCCAGGGCTTGCAAATCAATGTGAGCTCCTGGTCTTGGGCATCATCTCAGCAGCATTAGAATCATAGAATCATAGAATCATAGAATATCAGAGTTGGAAGGGACCTCAAGAGGTCATCTAGTCCAACCCCCTGCTCAAAGCAGGACCAATTCCCAGCTAAATCATCCCAGCCAGGGCTTTGTCAAGCCGGGCCTTAAAAACCTCCAAGGAAGGAGACTCCACCACTTCCCTAGGTAACGCATTCCAGTGTTTCACCACCCTCCTAGTGAAATAGTTTTTCCTGATATCCAACCTGGACCT